CAATAATTGACCAATCTATTTGTAGTGTTGCAATCTTTTAAATCGACCCGAATGTTGGACCACTTTGACCAACATAACCAGGCAAGAGGCGTCCAAGGAAATATCATCATTTCATTTTCGAATTCGATCCATCACTTGGGCTCCAAACAACAAGACTTAATCTGTTACGCCCTTCCAACTAATTTTCCTTGACATCTCTCCCTCCCTCTGCTCAAAGTCTCAAACTCAAAGAGATGATGACTTTAATGCTTCTCATCAATCAATAAGAAATTGAAATCATTATATGGAGTTTAAGGTCTTATTAATACAGTAAATTAAAGAAATGTGAATTTGAAATTAATTAAGTGCAGCCGGAAGTCTTGAATTGATGGATAAAGCGTCACTTATAGAGTTGGGTGACTGACTGTTGAATAAACAATAAAGCATGTGAATGATTTTGCAAAATTCAATTCAGAATAAATAAAAGTAAAACAAAGCGTGTGAGATAACATTAATCGTCATTCAATTCAATGGGTTTGGGTAGAAATTTCTAACACATTTGGGGGCCCTCGGGGGAGGGGGGAGGGAAGCTTCATTCCTCCCACTCCCACAGGCCACAGGTGACAGGGCCCACCCTTAATTACAACTTAGAAGAGAAGAAGAAGACCGACCGGAGACGGGGTGGGAATGTGATAACAAATCCAACCTTGTCTTTTCTGTTTTTTACTGATGCTGCTGCTGCTACTTGACAATCATTCGAAATACAACCAACCTAAGTAATTAATCTATAACCTATTAATTCTTAATATCATTTATTTATTATTTATTAACAAAAGAAATAAAACAGACTCCTCCAGCAGATCAGGTCACAGCCACAGCTGTTGTGACTTGTGAGTGTTGTGTAAGAGAGGAGTGAAGAGACAGCACACACCCGATCAATGCCATCAAGATACCAATCCCATGGCTCAAGATGCCACGACTGATGTCAAAGTTTCCCACTATTGTGTCGTGTTGAATAATCTTATACAATAATAATAATACCATACCATACCATACCATTAGTCCATCACCGTTACGGTTACCGATGCAAAGAAACAATAAAGAGAGAGTTAAGGCTCAGAGGCTGGAGTTGGAGGCCAGTCCCACTCGTGACGGAAGTGGATCTGCTCCTCACACTCGGGCGCCTCACATGCACATCCACCCTGCTTTGAAAATATTTTCAACGCATGGTAGGATGTGCTTGTAAGGCGCGTGTGAGGCGCTTTGTACGAGGAGCAGATCCGGTCTCGTCCCACTCACCCCCCAAAGCCCATAATCCACTCATAAGTCATAATCACTGCCACTGCATCTTTATTTATTTTACCACTTTACCCCCATATAATTACATCTCCCTGTCTCTCTCTCACCAAATTTATTTATTTTACCTTGAAATATACACGCCCCTCGGATAATAAATAAAATTATGACAAAAGAAGGAAATATAGAAACAAGTGATCTCTGCTATGTCCATTTCCTACGAAATAATTTCCCACTCTTCTTTCTCTTTCTTTTTTTCTTTCTTCTTCTTCTTCTTCTTCTTATTATTATTATTATTATTATCATAAAAACTTTTCCTAAGGTCTCACTTTAACAAAAATCTCCTCTAAATTTTTAGAAAATCCAACAAATACCCCACTTTCATATCTGACCCAAACAAAAATAGTCAAGTCACAAAATTGCCCTTGATTAATAGTTAGAACATCTTCAACATATTTTAAAATATAAAAAAGCCCTTCACTCGAGTTTTGCCCTACATATCTGTTCGCAACCCCTGTCGAAAGGCCTTTCCTTTTAGCTCTGGATCACTACATAGTGGAGCCTTCGATTCCCAAAGGGAGAGTAGGTGGAGAGAGAAAACTCGCCCCCTACAAACACTAAGGCTCCATTTGGTTTGTGGGGTGGGGATGAGAAAAAGGGAATATTTTTGAATATTCCCTTTTCTCATATTTGTTTTGAGGGAAAGAGGGGGATGGGATGAGAATAAAGTGGGATGCGAGATCCCAAAATTGCGGATTCGGGGTCGCACTATTTTGGTGCGACCCTGATGAGAAAATCTCAAGTACAGGTGTTCAACGGCACCAATGCCATCGCTAGCAACACAATCCTATTCAACGGCACCAGCGCAGATAAATCCAGCGAGAAGAAAAAAGAAGTAGAAAAGGAAGCAACTTGTAGCAACACAGCCCTCTCGTCATTTCTAGTTCGGTGGTGACAGAGTAGTGAAGACGACCATCTGTGATACAAGCAGTGGGCACCTCGTCCACAAGCACAAAATCATCATCGACAGATCATCCTCCAGGAACTCCACTCCACGCGGCTACACCCTACACCATTCCAAACCATCATGGAGACAAAGCTACTTCTTCGCCATTAACTTATGCTCTTGATTTTCTAAAACGAAATAAAAAACCCAAATTTACTGTAGTATCTGTTATCGAATTCTCTAAAATTCCAGTATAGCATAAATATATTCTAAGAAACAGGCACAACCCTGTTTATGAACTGATGGAGGAAGATTTGACCCGACCCCTTGGCCATATGACACGTGGAAGCAACCGAGAGTGACCTGGCAGAAATGCCAGCTCAGCACGACAGCGGGCCCTACAACCCGAGCTCCGAGCTGAAGAATCTCGAGTTCCCCAAGGAGGAACCCGAGCTCTCCCTTCAAGGTCCTGAGCCTTACAAAAGGCACAAAAGGCAAAGGCCCGAACTGCCAGCCCAAGGACAACTCAGACCATACTTCTGTCCAAACAAACTTCACCCCGCACACCACTTCGGCCCCAAATCGCCTGACAACCATACCTGACGCCCAGGAAGCCCGTACATGGAGGCGACGCACCTGACTGATTAGGGGCCCGACACATGACAGCCACCCCCCAACGGCCACCTGCCACCGCCATCTCAGACGTGGCAGGGACGGCCCTGACAAGGAACAATGGAGGTTATGACACTCGAACTGGCAACTGGCAGTGGAGGTTCTGACACCCGAAATGACCCCCGATTTGGCAGAGGTTGTGATACCCGAACTGACAAGGGTTCGGGAGTAAGTATACAAGGTGACTATAAAGGCCCCCATCTCAAGGGGAAGAAGGTATGTGATTCTTGCACTTTCTGGCCTTAGAATTTCTCACTTCCCTTGCCTTATAAAGAGCACTAACTTGAGCTTCGGAGTGTTCCAACCGGGTTCCTCCCTGGAAGTCTCCATTTTCTTCCTTGTTTCAGGCACCTCCGATATCGTCAGAAGCGAGGTAACCGGCAGCTAAGACCGACCGGATTGTGCACCATCATGAACTATTGGTTTTCCTTGGGAAGTCGCAACCAGACTTACCCATTTCTACAATCTAGACAGGTTCTGTCTCACCATGTTTATGTTCTTGATTTTCTAAACAAAGCAAAAGAAAAAGAAGACGAAGAAGAGAGAGAGAGAGAGAGAGAGAGATTAGAGATGGGACATGTAGATTTACTGCCGCTGCAACTTGCAACAGTAGTGACGAAATGGAGCGAGAGAGAAAATGGGGGGAGATGGGAAGAAGGAGAAGAGAGAATAATAGTGGATTGCTTCATAGTCGTCGCTTTGTTTAGATCTGTGCTTCTCTTCCTAGTCGCCACTCTATTCGGTCGAGAGGAGGATGAGGGTGAATAGTGGATTGCTTCGTAAACTTCTCCCCCTTTTTACATTTTCCCATTCCATCCCATCCCATCTTTTCTCATCCCATCCAAATCTTCCCAAAACCAAACAGAGCCTAAGACAGTAAGACCTACACCACTGCTCCTCTGATAAAGAGTTGATTGCAAGTGTGGTATTCTTATTTTCTACAAAAGCCCAAACAAGCCCAATTAAGAAAATAGTGAATAGAGATAAAAGAAGCACAATGATCCAACTAGGTTTTTCCTGAGTTTTGAATCATGCTATGGAATAAGAATAAAATGAGAGATTTTGATTGGAAAACAAAAGATAAAAACAACAAAACCAACATGGTATTTTTTTTCTCTGTTCCACTGAATTATAATAGAGTTGCAATGAGATGTTGATCATATGATGAGAAAGAGCTTTACAAAATTTAACCCTCTTTTCTCTTGGTGGTATTTATTTTAGTGCATGAAATGGATAAGGGGGATCTCTCTGGTATAATTGCAAAAGTGATATGTAAATTTATCTGTTTAAAATGCCGAGTCTTAAAATGATATCAAAGAGAAAACGAGGGTCTATTAGAGAGAGAGAGAGAGAGAGAGAGGCTTGGCTATGATTTTAGAGGAGATGTTGCATAGTTCAATTGGCCATGACTGTGACCTCGAAAACAAGTTGGATACCCATCTCAGGTCCCTCTATGAAAAACTCAGATGTCATATCTTTCAAACATGCGATTGATTTAGGTCTCAAACTTTACAGCGGAACATATTATTTCTTCATATAAGTTGGTTCTTTTTTTTTTGGTAATTCATATGAGTTGGTTCGTGAAAAGGAAGTATTGAGGGTGGGAAAGTCTATGGTGACTGAATGTGAGATCGGTTTCAGTTAGTGCAAGGTCTATTTAAACACCTTTTACAGCCTTGCATTGAGAATATCTATGTACTTATGTACTTTATTCATAGCGAAATACTTTCAATGGAAGTTTGAAAGAGGCTTTTCGAACTGTGTGAGCATGGGCTTGCAATGACCGAAGCCGGCCTCACTGAATGCTGCCTTTCTTCTAAACTTGATAGATGGGTGACTGAAAAATAAGAAAGAGGACATCAAATGGGGGATTCAGTTTGAAGTTTCTTTTAGGGTTATTTTAGCAAATTTTATATGATTATCATATATAAGGGTAAAGTGGGTATTTTGAAAAACTAATGTATAATAAGTCAAATGTTTTTCGTGTGGTCAATGAGGGAAGGGAGGCATGTGTTGGGTTGGGCTTTCCAAAAGTTTACGGGAGATTTTTGTTAAAGTAAAATTTCAGGGGAGGTTTTTATATTTTACCCTTCTTATTATTATTCTTTCTTTCTTTGTGGGTTTGACCTAAAAACAGGAAAAGAACATCTCAAATGGAGTTTACATAGATCGATTGGATATTTGGTTTTCAGCTACGCTCTCCCCGAGTTTCTCCGATACGCCGCACAGAGAGGATCTCTCTTCCTCTATCTTATCTCGTCCTTGGTTGGGGTTCCGTTTGGGGGGAGGGGAGGGTTTGCCGAGGAAAGGGCAAGCGATGAAATCCTTGAAGAAACTGCGAGGATTCACACTGAACAAGACTGATGCCAAGGGCAAAAGAGATCACCAGCCTTCCGCACAGTTGGATGAGCTCGCCCAGGCATCTCAGGTTCTCTTTCTTGTCTTATCGCTTTCTCTCTCTCTAGGTTTTCCATTTATTACAGTCTTTATGCTCTCTCAGACTGGCAGCGTAATTGTTTGATAAGCATGAAAACACAATCGCCTACTCGGAATTTGTAGGGTTTAACGGAGCATAATTCATCCTTAGTGTTTTAATATCAGGACACTGTCATTTAGAAAATACTAGAAACAGCAACCATAGAAACTCAAAACACTCTGTTTCTCGTTATCGTTTCCCTTAACTTCTCATGCTTTTCCCCCACCCTCTCTCTCTCTATCTATTTATCGTTTTTTCTCATTTCTTTTGACTGGATTACGGACGTCTAAGTTACTAGCGAAATATTCCTCTGGATCTATTGCAAGTTTGCAACTGCGCTGTGAGGTTTGTGATTGAAGCCCAGTTCAGGATGAACGGTCTGGTACGATAATCTGTCCTATCGGGTCCATGTCCTCCCTTGGTTAGCCTTGGGCTTTCTGGGTCTAATAGTTTCTCCTTTTCTGTGCTTTTCATCTGTTCCTCATGGACAATTGGTTATTTATCACCCCCAAGGCTTCTCTCACAGAGTGACAATATTGCTCTGCCCCAAATGTATATTGACGAGTTAAGAAACAATATATCCATGAAATGAAGGTAGGAGAAATACGAATATTGAGATGGATGAATGAGAAAACTAGAATAGATAGGATAAAAAATGACCACAGACCATATCTGTTGGAATTTAGGAGTAGCCCCTATAGGTGATAGAATGAGGGAAGTAGGCTAAGTGGTTTGATCATGTGCACAGAAGATCATCTATGGTTAGACCTATTGCAAGTTGAAGAGTCTGGAAGAGGTAGAGGTGGGCCAGAGAAGATGCACGTTGAAGCGGTAATAAATGATTTGAGGGCCCATATTTAAACAATGGATATGGCGCTGAATGGAACAGAATGAAGGAACAGGATTAATGTGGCCAAATACATATAGTTGGGTAAAGCTTTGTTGAGCTGAGTTGTGCTCTCCCTTAAGATATGTGGATGAATGTGATCTTATATTTAGGATAATGCCAAAGATGTCACTTGGTAACCTCACATTATCTCATGAAACCAGCAGAGGAAACTTGACAATGAGGAGAATAATTGATGATCTTTGAACAATAAAAAAGGCACATGGTATTTGATCATGCTAGAAATCGATGATTTGTACCTGAATCTCACTTGGTATTTGATCATGCTAGAAACTTGACAACGAGGAGAATAATTGATGATCTTTGAACAATAAAAAAGACACATGGTTTGATCATGCTAGAAATCGATGATTTGTACCTGACTCTCATATGTACTCCAATCACTTCACCTTACTGGATGTCCAAGTGTTGGAATCAATACTGATCCAGGGACTTAAGCATGGAATAATTAACAAACAAGAAAGGGATAAATTATTATTATCTGTGGCTGCTGCCCTCTTCCAACCTTTTTAGTTTCTACAACCACTTGTCTTGTCTAGCAAGGGAAATTTGATGGGGACTTGGATAAAGGTAGAGCTGTGAGTTAGGTATTTTGTAGGAGATATGTAGGCAAGTATGGTTTCTAGGTTTTGAAGGTTAGAGGTTTAATGAATGGGTTTTTTGAGAGGAAATATAGGCTGTGTTTGGAAACGGTGCAAATAAGTGTGAATGCAAATATGTAGAGTGTAAGATGGTCCATATAAATTGCAAAGTTGGGTTAGTTTTGCACCGACAAATTTACCTTCTTACCAAACAGACTTTTAGCTGTAATGGATGCAAATATGAATTCCAATAAAGCATATGCCTTTTTTTTGTTTAAATCAAAAGCCCACTTGAATGAAAATTTACTTATTTTTTATTGATGTACTTTTACATCTTATTATCAATGTAAATATTTATTGGAAAATGTGTTTTCTGTCATTTGTCAATGCATAAATATAATGTTGCCAAACACAGGAAAAAGTGAACCAGAGTGCAAATTTACCCTGAACTGGGATTTACACTCCATTTGCATCGCTTCCAAACATAGCCATAGTTAAAAATTCGAAGGTTTTTTTTTTTTATTTAATATAAATAAGCATATGCAGAAATTTCAAGAGAGAGGTGTACTGGTGGAGATTTGAGTAATCTTGAGAATGAGGGGGGATCCTTTAAAAGGATTGAGAAGGATCATGGAGAAAGTTAAGCTATGGGGGTTGACTGGTATATGAAGAGGCCAATTTATCTGAACTCTGAAGTAAGATATCTTCCCAGATTTGTTCTTTTTTGGTAAAGCTAATAAATTTGAAGAACATAAAGAATTCTGATGTGATGAGATAAAGGCTTTCTCATTGATTAAATTGCTGCTATATTCAATTCTTCAATTAAATCAGTGAAGAAGAATAGTAACTTTTTTTAGTGAGTAACTGCAGAATTTCATTAATTTGGCAAAAGTGTGGTGATGTATAAAATCCAAGAACAAAATGAGCAGTACAGTCTGCAACCGTCTACGCCCAAAACATTACCCAATTTACATACAAAATATCCCCTACTGAAAGAATTGAATTGGTAGATCAAGCTTAACTTTGATGGTAGCAGCTTGGGGATCCTGGACCTTCAGGTATTGGAGGTAATTTTAGAGATGAGGAGGGCAATTTCATCGCTATGTTCTCGGGGCCAGTTGGAGAAGGAGACTCCCTGAGAGCAGAAGTGTTGGCAGTAGTGGAAGGCATTCAAAAGGCAAAACAAATGAACATCCAAAAGCTATTTGTGGAAGGAGACTCCAAACTGGTGATTAGCTGGTTACAAAATGGGGGATCAGAACTGTGGCTTTTCAACAATGAAAGGAAGAAGATCAGGTGGCTAACCAGAGATATAGAAATAGTGGTAGGGTGGGTTAAAAGATCTGCTAATTCTGTAGCAGATGCCTTAGCTAAACAAGGGGTGGAGAAAGATTCACTTTTCTGGGCACAACTGTAAGGGATCTGATTGTATCATTGTAGAGGTTTTATCTCTCACAGTCCGACTGTATTTAATGTATTGTACCTTCCATTATATTAATTAATAAAAGGTTGAGTTATTGATAAAAAAAGAATTGAATTGGTAGATGGTTAAAGAGCAATCCATGACAAAGCTGTTAGCATCTTTATGAAACAGATTTCTCTTTTGCTTGAAAAGTTTTTTGATTTCACTCCATCCAAATGCACTGACAAAAAGCAGACAGGACCATACTCCATAAGATTCCACCACTTGATTCTAACCTGATATTGACCAAGAAGATAAACCATCCCTTGTGGAGTGAGGGATAAACCAAGTTGAGCAAAAGAACAAGGTGAAAAAAATCCTGAATAGTGGATGATATAGGACAAGAAGAACATAACTACATCAACATGCTATTCTGGAATGTTATATCCACAATGGTTTTGCTTGTTTATGAAAATTTTCTTTACTACATTAATACCCTCTGGAATCTTCCCTTGGAAAATCTAAAATTCCTTCCTGTCTCAAAAACAGCAAGTACTTAACAATGAAAAAACTACATTTCCTTTATTTTGTGGCATTGGAATTTGGGGAGTCCTTGAAGAATCCAGTTTTCTTAGGTGCCAAAAGCAGGAAAATTGAGCTTTTGTTATCACATCTTATCATTTATATGCCTTTATTTTTTGAAGAAAATACACCAACACCCATGTGCTCCAATGAGCTGTACAATGAAAATATACAAAAGGATTGAATTCTTTTTCTCCCTACTATATACAGACTTTCCTTTGTAAAATAGGAAGTATGTGGTTTTCCCCTGAATCCCTAGCCATGAGTATGGCAATCCCTGTGTCTTTCTTGCCACCATCTCTTCAGTTTTACTTTTATTTTCAAATAACTGATTCCTTTCAGTCCACATGGCCCAAAAACAGCAAAGGGGCTACCTTCCAAACTGTCATACTTTCTTTGCTCAGATCCTTAAGCTGCCAGCCATGAAAAAAAGGCTTCAACCAAGCCTGGGAAGCATCACAGAACACCAAAATGTTCATCACCTTTTTTTTTTGAAGAATAAAGAAAAAACTTTCATTAAAATAAAAGAGGAAACATTACAGACTGATTTGGTGTCAAGATGACACACCAACAGGTCCAATACACCAATACACCTGCAAGCTGAAAAGGTTCTACATGACATGGTTACAATTCAAGAATACTCAAGAAAATTATAGCAAGTCAAATCTGGCATCTTGGACAAAAGCTGGAGGGACTAAAGCTAATTTGTTACCAGCCTCCCACTGCTGCTACAATTGGTTGGTATAACCATACCCCCTGAGAACTTACGAACTACCACTCTCCTCCCCAAATTCATTTTTTCATTTTTAAATCAAATTCTCCAATATTGTTTCCTTTAACAGCACAGCCTCTGGTTTATGAATTCTTCCTTCAAATCCTCAATTGTCCTCATCCGCATACTCCTCTTCTCCTCCTTCTTCATCCCACCCTTTATTTTTGTCTAATCATTCTTTTCTTCTATTCTCCTCTTCTCTCTTCTATTTTTTCAAACTGTTCAAAAGCTAACCTCGCAAAACCTTCCCCTCCCCAGAAGAAGAGACCAAGAGACTTTCCTACCCTGACCTCTCTATCCAGTATCCACCAATCTGTTGATTTCCACTGCCCCATTTTGAATTAGCTTTTGAATCTTCCTGATAATCTTTCCCAGCTTCTTCTGAAACCGTCCTGTCCCCTTTTCCCCCTTCCCCTCCCTCTTCCGTTTCTCCCACTCTTCCTCCCTTCTCCCCTACTTCATGTGATAAATTCAATATCCTTCTCCTGTTATAAACCTTTTTATGAGTGTCTCTCCCTCCTTCTCGTCCCACCATTTTCTTCCCCCCTCTCTTACTTGAGTCGACTGGTGAAACTGGGCTCGGAGAACTTACCTCTGTGTTTCCAGTATCTTTCTCTGGGTTTCTGTCATTTGTAGATTCTTCTTCCACTTTCTCTTCTCCTTCAACCATAGCTGTCCCTGTATCCCCTGTTCTGAGCTCTGAAGGTCCTGAAGCCCGTACTTCAACTACCTAGTGCTCACTTGCTTAACCTGCCATTGTACTCACTCCCGCCATCAGACCTTCCGTTTCCTTTGAACATTCCTTCTCATCATCTTGTATCTCTTTCAGTTTGACCATTGCCAAACCCAATTCCCCGACTATCTTCCCTTCCTCGAGAACTGCTGCACAAACACTGGTTGCTGCATTGTTTTCCACTTCCTCCAGCAGGCAACAAGCCAGAGCGGAAGAAGCTTTGGTCGTTGGCGGAGGACAGTTGGTTTTCTGCAACTTTGAGATGTTCCCTACCCTTGGCCTTTCTTACCAGCTTCCAGTGCCTGAGAGATGATCTCTTGCTGCTCTCCCTCCTTTTCTGAAGATGAATCTCCTTGGGAAACACTTGAGGCTCCTACTGCTTCTCTGCTTCCTTTCCTTCGCCAGAACTCCAGGGTTTTTTTTTTTTTCCTTCTGAGAATCTAGTAACCACCCCTGGAGGCCTGGACCATAGTTTCTCAGAGAATTTCCCATGGAGGAACAAGTGAGTTAACTGACTTGCTGATGGCATTACACAATACGCAGTTCCTGCTGTTCAACTCCATTCCCCTTTTTTAAAGACTTTTTAGTCGAGCATCTACTCGAAGTAGCTGCAATTGTGACTTAATACCAGGAAGGCCACTGGCTACCTTTGATGTACTCCTGAGTACCATATTTTGGAGGCTGGAAGTTAGTAGGCGTTGTGGCCTTAAATTGCTTATAAGATGATCTTGCTGCAAACTTACCAGGCCTTTCCAGCATCCACACTTATTTGTCCTCAAGGTTTGGACAGGGTACAATACACTATAATTTGTGCAATAATTCAAACATGTAGGCTATTTCCCAATCATTAAGATTTCTTCTGAAGGTTGCATTTCAAACTACCATTCCATTATGGATTTCGTAATTTTCCATGTCCAATACATCTGTATTTTGAGCTATGGCATATAATTGATGGGAGATCTCCTTTTATGGTGTCTCATCGTGCCAAATATCAGCCCATATCTTGAACACATTCCCAACGTTGTATTTGATTTTTTTTTTTGATAAATTTTTCGTATGACTTTCCAATTCCATTCCATAGTGCAGACCATTCCCAGCCCAAATTTCTTCTTCTATACTTTTTTTCGATAACAAATAAAATGAAAATTCAGTAGAAGATCAAAGAACAGTACAAAACACGATGTGATGAGAGTGAGGGATCACGAGACAGAAAAAAGAAAAAAAATAGAATAAAAAAATAGCATTACAGATCAAGACCCCCAATATCCATTTCCAACATTGACCAAAACCCAGACTCAAAAGACTCTTTTTGGACACCCTCAAATTCTGGTAGAATCGAACTCCAATATAAAAGCCAATTCCCAATCACTGAGCAAAGCTTTTTTTTGTCATTTTATTTGCCTTCAAATATACATTTTTTTATTTCTTTACTTCCAAACCTCCCAACAGACGCCAAAAGGAAAGCAACTCTACTGCTTCCATGAAAAACTGGCCAGCTTGAAAAAATTTCTTTGGGACATCTTGGTCATTAAACCTCCGTCATTAAACCTCCAGAACCACTTGCTTAGGAGCACTGTGTTCACTGCTTTCAACTTGCTTATATCCAAGCCTCATCCTTTATTGACATGCCAAGATAGCCCAAGGAAAATATTATTGAAATCTCCTTATTAAAAAATTACGGAAATTTAGCAGTTGTGTTTGCTTGTTTCTTTTTTGACTTATGAGAGAATATGAAGTTTAAATTGAAAATGGTAAATTGTATTTGGGAGATAAGTAATCAATTTTGACAATTGTCCTGGATTTTATTCTTTATATTTAACCTGAACTAATGGTAATGCATGTGGAACAAGAGGCGAGATTCTATCCCACCAACATGAAAAGGAGTAAAAGGGTAAAAGGCACAGTAAAGAGAAAAGTAAAAAGAAATGAATGTGTAGAAAGGTTATTATCACGGCTTGGTCCTTCTAGGTCATGATATTTTATATAAAGGGAGCATGATATACTTTTTTTTTTTTGATAATGAGCATGATATACTTTTTGGTGAATGATTTTGGAGCATCCTTCTAGGTCATCATGTTCTTTTGGGGTATGATTTGGGCACATCCTTTATTTTATAAAGGGAGCACACCCCTAATCACTACTCAAAGAGTACATGTCTTATTGATCAAAAATAGAGTACATGCCCTAAGGCTATGTTTGGTTTGAAGGAAAAGGAAGGGAAAGACAGGGAAACCTACACAAGATTTGTAAAGGTTTCTCTACTTTTCTCTTCCTTTCCCTACTTTTTCCTTCAAACCAAACACAGCCTAAAAGACAAAAGCACCCCCATGTTTTGACTTCTCTAATAAGAAATTGTGGTTTCTTTGCCTCTTCACCAGGGATATGCCCAGTTTATCACAAATGGGAAATGTCCTAATATCTTCCTGTGCTTTTTACATGTTAGAATGACCTTATCAAAGTTGAAAAAATAAATAAATATATATTTCTTTGCTTTATAAAGTTATTTATCTATCATTTTGCTTTTTCAGAATGTTTCTCAATCTCTTTGTTTGATTTTGTTGTGTTTATTAGGACATGCAAGACATGCGAAACTGTTATGATAGCTTACTTTCTGCAGCTGCTGCAACAGCAAATAGTGCATATGGTATGTAATTTCTTGTTTAACACTTGTAACTCTCTAAAACACCTTTTAAAGAAAATCTCCCATAAGTCACATTTAATGTAATGAAACAGGAGATATAATCTTAAAATTTGTAGTAGCTTATGTATTATGATATGGCAATAGTAAATGCTTTTTTTTTTTTTTTTTCCCCAAAAGAAGGGCGAACATTTAAAATTGGATCAAGCATAAGTCAAATAGTTTTTTTCCTTAATAGAACATAATGAATGATGTGTAAGGATTGCAAAGTTATCCCAGGGGATAACTACACAACATAGATCAGTTGTGGCAGATGTGCGCATTAGGAAATGAAAGAGAAATAGGTGTCTAAAAATTAAGTGGGAAAATCTAAAAGGAGAAAAATTAGCACAATTTAGAGATAGGTCGATAGTAGAAGGAAATTGGGATTTATGTGTAAAGACTAATGAGATGTGGCTTGAAATGGCAAATTGCATAAAGAAAGTTAGCAAATGATGTTTTAGGATAATAATCTAAAGGAAAATGGAAAACGGGAAAAGTGCTAAAGAAACTTGGTGGTGGAATGAAGATGTTTAAAATATAATTAGGTTAAAATGAGCATGTTATAAAGATTGGCAAAAATCTAAAAATAGAGAGAGGCACGGAATGCAATCAGCACAAAGAGAGGCACGGAATGCAGCCTCCCTTAAAATAACAGTTACTCCAAGACTAAACAATTACACAGCAGCTCAAAATAACTGTTCCCGAAAGGTCCCTTCTTTAGCAAAAACATCTGATAATGCATTTGCTGATAATCTCACACAATGAAATCCCATTGTCATATCCCTTGTTTTTTAAGAAAAAGTAAAGTATAATTTCATTAACAGAAACATAAAACATGTACAACAAGCCACTGTACATAGGGGTATACACAGCCGAAGCCCATGCAAACCTATAACCTGAAACAGATTCCCAGTTTCCCACATGGAGAAGACCTAAGTTTGTCTACCCAATCTTCTTCAACCTTCTCTTCTTCTCTCCTACCTTCACACCCAAAAGAAGCTTCAATGGCTGTCACCAGCCAAACAGAGAAAAATGCCCCATCTGCAACACCTCAACCTTTCGGGGAACGTCTTCTGGTCTTACATGGCTTAGACTAACAGCGGCCGAGTGCAGATCTTTCACAAAGAAACCATCCAATTGGGCCTTGCACAGAGAAACAAATGGATCAAAATACTTATAATTTCCAGAGATTTGATCAACAACTCTGTCTTCCACCTGCAGAGTTTTGGACAATGGATTCCACCTGAACACAGTAATATTATCAAACTGCATTTGAAAACATGTTGCATCAACCCCAACCTCCTTACCTACCACTTCCCAGAGAGCCTTACACTTCCCGAAAGGGGTTAATATTATGGTGGATTTCAACTTTAAGCCTCTTATAACACCATCTGCAATTCTCCTTCAGTCTCTTGGTGGTTCTTCAGTAACCACTACTAGCTTCTTCTCCCAATCAACCTTGGCAGCATTGGTGGTTATCCTATTAGATTGATAGCTCTCCCATATTCTTAAACTGCTGCTGCTGCTCCTCCTTTCCTGCAGATTCTTTGCTCGGCTTCTGAATTTTCTCTGTTGACTCCACCCTTATTGCATTTCTCCCATCCATAGCATGAAATCATTCAAAGCACCTAAGATCTCCTTCCAACAGTTGCCAGATTTCCTTATGGGAAACAAACTAGTTGCATTTTAAACCGTTGCTTCTCCTCCTTTCCTGCAGATTCTTTGCTTGGCTTCTGAATTTCCTATGTTGACTCCATCCTTGTTTCATTTCTCCCATCCATAGCATGAAATCTTTCAAAGCACCTAAGATCTCCTTCCAACAGTTGCCATATTTCCTTGTGGGAAACAAACTAGTTGCATTTTCCTTCCTCCAAAATATTCAATGAGCACCAGAAAGCTTCCCTTAGCATTCCTTCTCCTTTCTGCCACATACCTCCTACCATCTTCGGATCTTCCTCTGTTGAGCCCTTACACTTCATCTTTCAACTTGCTTGGTTGCTTTCCCAACCAAATCCTTAAACCAGGTAATCACATCTTTCTCGACCAGGAATACCATTGCCATTTTCATATCTCTAATTTTCAAGGCTGCCTTCCCTTTCACCCTGAAGCTTTCCAAGAGAAAATGCTTTGCCTTGATCTTCAAAGGTCTTCTCCACGTGGGTGGGAATCTGCCTGAACTCACCTATTGACTCCATCTTTTTGTGAAGAATTGTTCTGTTGCATGTTGAAGGGGCTAGGGCTAGATCATAAAGGATATGGGTGGGTTGAAGTAATTTGAAATAATTAAAGTGCTCATAATTTAACAATGGATATGACATTAAACAGAATGGAATGACAAAACAGGTTGGCAGATAGCATAGCTAAGCAAGGGGTTCAAAGAACACATGTTTTGGACTCATTTGTAATTTTGTTTTGGGTCAGCTTACTAAAGCTGGTTTCTTTCACAACTTCTTGTTGTATCCGTAATTTTTTCTAATTAATGAAATCATTTCAGAGTTGCTGATAAAAAAAAAGACAAAACAGCATTCATGTTTTTTTTTAATCAATAACTGAATGAGATTCATTAAATGAAATTACGAAGAGAGGAGGGGAGATAAACTTTCTTAGCTCCCCCCAAAAGGTGAAAACGAAAATTACAATATAGCCAGAACAAATTGCTTCTGCCCACCCCTTGCTTGGCCAAAACATCAAAACAGGATTCATGTTGCCAACTCCATATAGTTGGGATAAGGCTTGGATGATGTTTCTACTAATGCATTTGCTGATTGGTGTCCCAATTCTCTAATCGGACTCCTTACCTCTTTCATCGTGTTCCTATGCTGCCAAATTCCTAAGGTATCATTTTGTAGCCAGCTTATATTTCTGTAATTTAGCTGTTTTTCTATTCTCAACTCTTGCAGGACAGCTAATAGCTACACTATGGTTGAATCTCCTTGACCTATTGGACCAGAATATATAGCCAATATGTTCCCATAATGATTTCGGAACACTTCACCTATACCCAGTCTGCCAGGATCCCCAAAGCTACAACCATCAAAATTGAGTTTTATTTGGAATATTTTGCTGAGAAGTCCACGTCCATGCTCTAGGTACTCTTCTTGTAGTTGTGGAAGCAACCCAATTCCAACCTTTTGGTTGGGCGAAATTGGAATCCCATTCCCATTCCTGGTGGAATGGAATTTCCCCATCTGAGGGAATGGCCATTCCCTCCCCCTCCCTTGGGAATGAGAATCCAGTCCAGCTGATTCCAATTCTGAATCCGATTCCCACCTGAACCAAACAGGTGGGGGGATGGACCATTCCAATTTCGATTCTGGTTCTGATTCTGATTCCAATTGCAAACCATACGGACCCTTAAGGTTTTTACTCAATGAGCAATCTTTACTGTTTTGTTTTCAATGAAAGCCTTTTTGGTGAGAGGCCTTTCATTGAAGATCGTAGAATTCCTTTCCTCCCATAGAGACCACAAGACTACTGCCCTTGTGGATTTGATTGGAAAAAAGTCCAAGAACAAGCTTCTTTTATCAGTTGGTGGATTTCACCTGCAACCAAAAGGGGAGAAGAAAACTTCCCAGATGCAGGAAGCCTAGAAGTGAGCTGACAGGAGATCAGTAAATGAAATGTAGTTTCAGAGCTTGCCTTGCATAAGAAACACATACTAGGAGAAAGATACCAACCCTTCCTTCGAAGAACATCACAATTGCTGATATTAAGGTGGAAAACCTTTTAACAAAAAGCTCTAATCTTAGGTGGAATTGGCCTTTTCCACATGGCTCCAACTGGAAAATAGATACTTGGATTGGAGAGGATAAGAAATAGTTGACTGTAACCAAATATAATCTGATTTGTTTTGATAAGAAACAGCAAAAACAGAAAAAGAAACAGTGGAGACTGGAGAAGAAGAAGAAACGGAAAGATAAAAAGAATAAGAGAAGGGGTGCAGAATCTAATCTGTCATGCCGCCCCAAAGATTGCTATTTATATTAAACAAATGAAAAAGACTATATTGACAGGACTACCCCTGCCAGAAAGAAAAGATTAATGGCTAACATTACAACCAATAGCTAACAACAAAAAATAACAAAAATAATAAATAAACCAGCAGGACCACAAACTAATTAGCTATTTCTCTACACTCCCCCTCAAGTTGGGAATAGATATTCAATATTCCCAACTTGCGTAAATCTGTCTCTAGCTTGACTTTGGTGACTGCTTTGGTGAAGAGATTGGCAAATTGTATATTAGAGGAAGACATACTTCTTGAGAAGCAACTCCCTCTCTCTCTCTCTCTAATGAAATGTCGGTCCACTTCAATATGTTTTGTTCTATCATGCTGTATTAGGTTATGAGTAGTGTTAATGATAACCTAGTTATCACAATACAACTTCAAGGATCTTTCATACTCAATTCCCAATTCTTCAAGTAAGGATCTCAGCCATAGCACTTCAACTACACCATTAGCCATAGACCTATACACTGCTTCAGCATTGGAGCGAGAAACAACACTATGTTTCTTACTCCAAGAAATAAGATTTCTTCCAACAAGAGCCCACTACCTTGAAGTAGATTTCTTATCATCAATACATCCTGCCCAATTTGCATCGGTGCATATTTCTATCTTCATATGACCATTATTCTTGAAGATTATATCTCGGCCTAGACACCTTTTCAAGTAGGCTAGTATTCTTTCAACAACAAAGGCACATTAGCATGGTGTACTCCTCTTGTTTGAACCGTAGTTTGAAACCAAACTTCTCCTCAAGAGGATAGATGGGGCGATTCAGGTGAGATCCAATGTAGATYCAACTTTCTATTCACTCGTGGGATCCGGGCGGTCTGGGGGGGGACCACCACGACTCCTCTCTTCTCGAGAATCCATACTTCCCTTATCAGTGTATGGACARCTATCTCTCGAGCACAGGTTTAGGTTCGGCCTCAATGGGAAAATGGAGCACCTAACAACA